AGGTGGGGCTCCTGTGGCCCTGGCCAGTGCTGAGTGCAGAGCCACAGGGTGGGGTAGGGTCAGGGCGGGGTGGGATGGGGAGATGGCAATGCACACCCACTCCCCAGGGCCTGGGTGCTTTGCACAAGTGTGGAAACATTTTTCTCCTGAGTCTTCAATTGAGAGCAATTTAAATTCCTGTAGCTGTTGGGGTGGAGGCTGAGAACCTGGGGTGTGGTGGGTGGAGCTAGGGAAGGAGGGTTTGAGTGGGGCACCCAGAGCTGACTTCAGGGAATCACCTTGGGGCAGGGGTAAAATCCTCAGTGCAATTCATCTGAGGCCTGTCCAGGGGAAACAAGAAGCACTCAGGACATGGCCAGAGAAACAGGGACAGGCCACAGCCCAGAGGAAAGGGGCCGCGTGAACTTGGGAGGGAGAAGCAGCGAGGCTAGGTGGAACAGATAAAAATGGGGGTGGAGGGAGCTGTGTGTTGACTCAGTGTGCTTGCTCCAAGTCTGAAGACCCAAGGTGAATCCCTGGACCCACATGGTAGAAGAGAGAATTGACTCCTGTAAGCTGCTCTCTGATATTCACACATATCCATAGGCACACCACACACACACACATGCGCACGTGCGCACACATGCACACACACACACATGTGTGCACACACACACTATATATTTTTTTAATTTTTTGAAAGCATGCTGTCCCCCTTCTTGCTATCAGATGGCAACTGCAACAGGCCTAGGCAGTGACTTCCGTGATCCCCAAACCCTTCAGCCATCCAGGACATAGGAATGGGCTGTGGGCTCCATCCCAGCCCTCACCAAGAGGAGGCTACCTGTGCATTCTATGGTTCCTGGTGTGTCCCCCGCTGCAGATTGGCCTCCCTCTGTTGGACCCCACACCTCCCATCAGGTCCAGAGTGGGGAAAGCAGGAAAGGGACAATGGGAGCTGAGTCCCTGGATGCAAGCTTTGTGGCCTGACCCCAGGTTTACCCACAGAGTTCACAGGAGACTCCGACTCTGCAACATTTTAGGGAGGCTTGGAGGGCCTCCCAATCTGCAAGGCCCAAGTGCAGAGAAGGAGTGAATAGCAGTGTCCTCTCTCATACCCCATCTCCTTCCTGGTAGGATTGCTAGACAGGCTGAACTTTCAGAGAGAGAGAAAGAGGTCACACTCAGATAGGCAAGTGCCAACGATTGTCCTGTGGATACCTGGACTCCAGCTTCTGGAGTCCTCAACTCCAAGGGAGGCCATTCAGAGGACTTGACTCTGGGCCCCAACCTCAGCCCTGTTCCCCACCAGAATGAACCCAAGAAAGTTAAGTTTTTTGTCTCCACCTTTCCAGAAACCGTACTGCACAGTCAGAGGCGGAGGCCTGCCTGAAAGCAAGCCCAGTACAGGACAGTCCCAACCATGTACTTGGAGGACAGTCTCAGGGGCAGTGCCTGCCCATTGCAGCCTCCAGCAGTCTGGCCAGGGAGAAAACAAAACAGTGGTAAGTTGTCTTCACCAAACCTTGAGCCCCTGAGAGAAACTGATCACATATGAGAGCCAGAATAGCAACAGTAGTGGCTAACACCGACGATGCAATTAATCTACAGCTAATACCACCCTAATCGCTACACACACTACTTCAGCCAACCCTCGTATTCACCCCACCTTTAGATAGGGAACTCAGGAACAGAAGCAGCAAGAAATGGCCCAAAGTTCCCAGAGTCGGGCCTTGGCAGAACCAGAATTTGGTAAGTTTTAGGTTTAGAGCATGGGTCTGCAGCTTCAAGAGTTGGTCTCAAGGAAAGTGGACCTCTGGAAACCCCTGTTCTTGTTGTTCCACCTTTCAAGTGGGCATCATAGAAAGGAGCGTTGCCCAGGACATAAAGTTGAGAGCAAACATAAGGGCACAAGAGCAAATCTGTTGGCAAGATAGAGCAAAGATGTCTACTTCTTCAATCCAGGGCCATGTGGAGCGTGTGAGTGGACATAGGGCCCTGAGAGCTCCTTAAGGCAAGGGGCCAGGAACCCAGAGTAGTGCAAGATTAAAGCTGAGGTGGGTAGAGAGGTTGTTCTTGGCACTGTACAAGAAAGATGGGCACGCAGGAGTCAGGGTATCAAGTGTGCATTGATCCTATCCCCACCTCCCTGACACCCTTACCAACTCTTAGGTAGTCTTGGGGCCCAGCCCATCTTGACCATCCTTGCACCTCTGGTGTTGGACCCAGTTCCATGGTAAACACGAGAGCATTGTGTGGGATGAATAAAACAAGCAAGGCTGGAGACTTGGGCTCAGGAATATACCTGGGTGTTTCTGTGTGCATGTCCATGGTCCCTCTGTTCCCTAGGAATACCAGGGATAATGTGGAGGACCACCTGGCCTCAGCACATTCCTTGTCTATAGAACTTAGGAGGGCTACTTGCCCTGGCTTATCCCTTAGGTATGACCCTACACTCCGGCATTCTCTTGTTCTCTCCTCCATGAGTGAGAGAGGACAGGGCCACCACCTTGGGCTCCACTTATCGAATGCTTCATGACCTAAAAAGACCAGGGACTTCAGCCAGGCTCAGGGATGGATGTTGTTAAGATCTCACTTGGATATAGAATCTTGAAGGATGGAGATAATAGGAAGAGAAAGAAGAATAGCAAGGCAAGGGATGGCAGGTACGTTCTTGGGTTCCACCAGTTAATAATAATGTGCGGTGTGTTGTGTGTTTTCTGAGAAAAAGACCTTACCTACTAGACACCTAAAACAAGGCAGTACCAAGCCCTGCCTGCATATATGATGGTTTCCTACACACACTTAAGTTTCATTTATAATCTAGGCACAGCAAAAGGCTAACAAAGTAAGCCACAATAAAATAGAGCCATAGTACTAATATGCAATAATAAAAAAGTTATTTGAATGTTCCCCCTTCTCTTTTGCCCTGCCCCTACCTAACTTGATACCTTTTTTTAATATTTATTTATTTGTTATGTATACAATATTCTGTATGCCTGCTGGCCAGAAGAGGGCACCAGACCCCATTACAGATGGTTGTGAGCCAACATGTGGTTGCTGGGAATTGAACTCAGGACCTTTGGTAGAGCAGGCAATGCTCTTAACCGCTGAGCCATCTCTCCAGCCCAACTTGATACCTTTTTGAGCTACTTGTGTTCATAGTTCTTGGTGACTGAGGGTAACTGAAGGTAACTGTGGACTGGGGTCAGGGCATCAGGAACTACTAGAGCCAAAAGCTCATGACAAATATCCTCACTACAAAGAAATGGTGAACATTTGTGTTTAAAAAGAATAAAAATCTTCCCAAGACTCCTGATGACTTTAGGAGAAAAGATATGATGGGGGGGGGGGAGTTCAGAGCAGAACAGGCTGCCTCCTGCTTCTAAGACTTGTAGACTCTCCCAGACACACCTCTCTCCTAACTTCCCCTCCTTCCCACTAGGACTCAGCAGGTACACTTCCTTCCCTCCAGAAGCCGCCTGCTTGCTACGGCCCTATCTGCACCTTTCATGCCCTTCATAGCCACTCTGTGACCGGCACAGTGTCCAGCATATAGTCAGAACTCAGGACATCATAGTTACTGAGGGATGGAGGTGATAGGGTTCGAATGTAAAATACAGCCTTCACACACACACACACACACACACACACACACACACACACACACACACACTGCCCTGACCCACATGCGTACTGGCTCATGTGTTTGAACACTTCGTTCCCCAATGGCAACACTACTTGGGAGGTTGTACAACCTTTTGGATGTGGGGCCTCACTGGCAGGCATGAGGCTCTGGAGGTGGGACTTGAGGACTATAGGCCCACTCCATCTTCTGTCCAAGCTGCCTGTGCTTCCTGATCCACAAAGATATGAGCAAGCTGCCTTATGCTCTTTCCTGTGGTTCCCCCACCATGATGGACTGTGCCCTCCATTGTTTAAACTGTGAATCAAAATGAACCCTTCCTTTCTCAAGCTGCTTCTGTCTGGTATTTTTAATCACAGCAACAAGAATAGTAACTAACAGAAATGCATGAGAAAGTGAACCCATGACCACAGGCCAAGCCCCTAGGACTGTATTTTTTTCATGTCTGTATCACTAATGTCTGTTGCAGGCACATAGCTCAGGATAAATAGGGAGTGTGGTATCCAGAAAGCAGGACAAGTGATGTCTATAGGAACAGATTGATCTAATGGTGTACGCTAGAAGACATAAGTTGAGCCCAGATGCTCAGCGCAATGAGAGGTGAATCCACTATGCCTGGGAGATCATGGGGCAAGTTCTGAGACAGGACCCACGAGGTGTTACTGATGGCAAAGGGATAACAGGAGAAAAGATTCAAGCAGAGGAAGGCCCGAAGAGGGCCTGGTGGTACAGGGGAACCTGCCCCCTTGGGGGGGTTGCCCGAGAGAGCTGTTGAGTGGGTGGTCTCCTATCTCTTGTGGATTTCCTGTCCATCTGCTCAGAAACTGTGCTACCACACTGTCCTCTTAGCTCTGGGATCTTTAAGCCCTAGAAGATATGCAGATCACGGGAAAGGGGAAACCGAGGCACTCAGACTAGCCTAAGCCTCTTGGCAGCTCTGGCCTGAACAGCTGCCCAATGAAACCATCCTTCCTTCCTTCCTCAAGGGCTCCCTGCCCCTCAGACAGTGGGCTCTTAGTGCCCAGGCCAGGAGGAGAAAGAAAACAGGAACCATCCAAAGAGGCTCCATTGTTCTCCAGCAAATGAGTCACATGGGGAATGCCTCTCCCCGTGTGACAGCCCTCTTCCCCAGTATGCTGTTCCTGGTGACTCACAGAGGCTAAAATCACAAACCCTGTCCACTGCTCGCGCCTCCCTCCTGGGCTCTGAGAATGTATGTGTGTTACAGGCATCAGTTTCTCCCCTGGAGGTGGGTAAAAGCTGTAGGTGGGTCAAAGAACACCAGACTGGCATAAGTTCCTCCAAGCTGAGCAAATATGAGGGTCTTGATTCCCCGTGACACTTGAGCAAAATGACAGAAATACCATTCTGCGTGTGTAGTGTGCTGGCCTTTTATTCCTGGAGTGGTATGGGCATAGGGGTCAGGAAGAGGACTGGCTTCTAGCTGGTCCAGCTCTCACTCTCAAGACAGGAGTCTGCATTGGGTGCCCAGGAGGACCTGAGCTGAGATGCTCAGGGCAGGGACACAGGCAAGGGTCAGAGCTTTGGCTAGAGCAGTGCTGTCTCTACTTCCAGCGCCCGGTGACTTTGGCCTTCCCACGAGTTTTGGAGCTGCAGGAAAAGCAAAGCCCATCAGATGGGGGGAGGGGAGGAGCAGCAGTTTCCAGTGGGGCAGAGGAGGGGCTCAGGGAAGCTAGGGTTGAGATGAACATCCTGGAACAGGGATAGAACATAACAACTGCCCTGCTCTCCCCCTCCTCCCCCCTACCGCATCCCACCCTGCTCAGGCAAGCAGTGGTTAAGGCAGAAAGAAGAAAGCTGTGAACTGAGGGGGAAAGAGGAAGGGCTGGAGTCCCAGCCCTCACAGCGGGATGAGAAAGAGGGAGGCAGGGCGTGTGATGAAAGAAGGACCTCGGACACTTACACTTTCTGGTTGTCGTTGATCCTGTTTCGCAGAACATTGATCTGGAAGAAAAGCGGGGAAGATAAAGGATAAAGTTGGGGCTCATTCAGTGAGGTCTGAAAGAGGGGAGGGGTTCAGTGTAGAAGCAAGGGTGCAGAGGGGGAGGAGGAAAAAATCAGAACACTGCTGGGGACCAGTGAGTGAGTCGACTGGACTGATGGGGGACAGGAAAGGGGCCTTGAGGGTCAGCAGTGGTGGGGACCAGGTCACACCAGAGCATGGCTGAAGGACGGGCACAGTGAGCAGCTCACTTCGTATTTCTGCTGCTTGAACTTCTCCTGCAGGTCGAACTTCTCCGCCTCCAGGTTGTGAATGCTCTGCCATAGCTCTTTGGCCTTCTCTCTGCAGGAGCCACAGGGAGAGTGGAGTGAGGAGCCATAAACCCTACCGTGGGTTTGGTCTTCATCCTGGCCCCTACTCAGCCTACACGGTCCCCCAGCCTGTCCTTGCACATTTAGGTAGGCAGAGGGCGCCTCCAGCCTTTGCCGTGGGCCTGGCCTTTCTGAAACTCTGCGTCCCAGCTGCTGTGCCCAGGGCCCAGGGACAGAGACCAGGAGTTCTGAGAGTCGCTGGAGTCGTGAAGAAGCACGCCAGGTGCTGTAGAGCATCTAGCTGAATCATCCTTCCCATGAGCTGACCCAGTTCTCTTTCCCTCCCAGCAGAGCTCACACAAGGAGACCGGCCTGCTGAGGCCCTGCGCTAGCCCCAGTAATAAGCCTTGGGAAATGCGTGAGGGAGTAACTCCCCCTGGCGGTTTACATCAAGAAGTACCTTCCACCCCACCCGAGAGAAGAGTGCCAGGGTTTACCCAGCCAGCTAGCTCACCTCAGCTGGTCTTCATTCAGGTGGTCAATGGCCAACACCTTCCTCCTCTCAGCCAGGATCTTCTTCTTCTTCTCTCGCTCGGTCTGCCTCTTCCCACTCTTGCGCTCTGTCTGAGGCGGTGGTGAGCAGGGACACTTGTCTAAAGATGACTCCTCCCTGTCCCCTAACCCTCCCAACACCCTGGGAAGGAGGACCAGGTCTTCAGAACACCAGGTTCCTATCCTCTTGCTCTAGCAACATGACACGCCGTCCCCTTCTAAATTCCCCCAGAGAAACTGAGGTGGGGGCAAGGAGGGGCCTAAGTGCCCTACCAGGCTCTTCCAGACTCCCTCCTCCCACAATTCCTCCTCCAACAAGGTGTGCTCCCCTCCCAGGGAGCACTCTACAGCTAAAGGGTGGAGGAAGAGGACTCGAGGTTTTGTACCCACCTGAGCTTGCTAAACCAGGAAACCATGAGAGAAAGACCCAGAGAGAGAGACCAAGACCGCCACAGAGACATGGAGAGAAGCAGGGTGGGAGACAGGAAGACAGGAAGGACAAAGTGATTCGGGGGCTCCGCAGGGGCTGCCTGCCATGCCAAGCACAGGTCTGGGGCTTAGGTAAGTAAAATTTTGATAACATTTGCCTGGTGTGGTCACTGTGAGGACAGAGACATGGCAGCAGAGCTGAGGACTTAGGATATCTAAAATAAAATATTCTGATGTCTCCATGCATAAAGAAAACCAGGCCTGGTTGGGCATGGTGGCTCTTGCCTTTAATCCCAGCCCTTGGGAGGCAGAGGTTAAGTGGATCTCTCTCTGTAAGTTTGAGGCCAACCTGGTCTATACAGTGAGTTCCAGGACAGCCAGTACTATACAGTGAAACACTGTCTAAAAAACAAAACAAAACAAAAGATGCAGAAAGAAAGCAAATGAAGCCCCAGTCCTGAGAGGGGGGACATCTAGTATGAGTGAGTGTCCACCAGCAAATCACCCCACATCTGTGCAGCACGCTCTTTCCACGTCAGCTTGTCACCTCTCTGAAGCTGCAGGACAGGCAACACTAGGCCATGTGAGCAAACAGAACCAGATGTTAGTGTAGGCCATGCTGCTATATGGGGCAGAATCGGGTCTTTAACCAGAGCTCTGACTCTAGGACCCAGGATTCTCTGGGTGGCACCCAGTCACATTGGGGAGCCAGCATGAGGAGGCATATCAGCATTCTAACCTTTGCCACAGCAGACCCATCCTAGTGACGTTGTGGTCAGGCTGACAGCTAGCTCGGGGGCTAAGCATGGGGAGACCTTAGACTTCAACCACAGCAGCTGGGAATTTCTTCATGGATCCCATCAAAGGCAGTCTTGAGGATACACTGAGATCTCCTGGCTCCCAACGCTGCTTCCCACCTACCTTCTGGATGTACCCTCCAAAATGCATCATGTTAGACAGAGCTTTCTTCTTCCGGGCCTCATCCTCGGCCTTCCTCCTGTTCTCCTCCTCCTCACGCCGGGCCCGCTCTTCCTGGTTTCAGGGAGAGCAAATGAATACATTAATGGAGAGGGTGGGAAACCAGACTCTGGGATGAAGCTGGTGTTCTTTACAAATCATTGGACAAGGAGCTTTCTGAGGTGCCCTCTGGCACAAGATGGCATACTGGGGTTTACTGAACGGGCGCATGAATTGTTGCGTGAATGAGTTAAGGAAGCACTGACTCACATCTGTAAAGTCCCACCATCCCCCCAGGCCCTCTGTCCCATCCGGCCTGTCCTAGGGAAGGGATAGGGGCTAGAGGGCCTTAAAACCATGAGCACAAGACCCCAGCACATCTGTCCTGTTCATTGGAATGATGTCAATACTGAGCCAAGGACCTGAGCTTCTGTGATAAAGGCGACCTCTAGAACTGATGTCTATGACTAGAGAGGACACTCGGGATTCAAGGGCTCAGTAACTGGGCTGGGGTCACTCACAGCCAGGCGGTTCTGCCGTTCCTTCTCCCGCTCATTACGAATGCGCTGCTGCTCGGCCCGCTCTGCCCGTCGCTTTTCCTGGAGAGAGAGGTAGAAACACCTGTGTGTGTCTGTGAGGGGTGTTATCCCCATACAGGAATAGAGAGGTGGCCCTCTTCCATGTGTTTCTGTTCTCGGCCTGCTCCAAGGATGCAGATGGAAGTGGCCCATCACAGTTGGAGACTCCAGGAAGGCATCCTAGCTAATTTAGGAGAGCCTCTTGGAAGCCCACTGGAGACTGTCTCAACTCTGTGGGAAACGCCGACCGGCTTCTCTGTCTCCCTCAAGGACAAAATCCACATTCTGGCTCCAGAGAGCCAGGCCTGGCAGCTTCTCTGTGCTCAAAGATAAGGGGTTGCTGTGCACAGCTGGGGGAAGCAGGTTGGGTAGAGAAAAACAAGGAATCAAATAGTCTCCCCTCTCTGAGTGGAATTCTGGGTGTCACCCAGGATTCCGCAGGCTGATCTGAGTGTCCTGTGTTAGGGTGGCAGCTATGCCCAAAGGGTAGGAAAGAGGAACAGGGAGAACACAGACATTTGACTGTCATCCCACAGCCAGCGGTGTCCGGTTAGGCCCAGCTAGAGCCAGAATTTATCAGGCTCCTGTTGACAAGGAATAGCACCACTGATAGGCAGGTGGCAGGGACCCAGCGGGAGCAGCATCCAACAGGTTGGCAGCTTGAGGCAGGCTGAGGCAGCCGGGAGGGAGGGTAGGGTGGACTGTGGAAGTCGGACACCTACGATCCTGTCTTTGAGAGAGATTAGCTCCTCCTCCTCCTTCTTTCTGTTCTCGAAGTGAGCCTCGATCAGTGTCTGCAGCTCGTTTAGGTCCTTCTCCATGCGTTTCCTATGGATGTCCTGTGGGGAGAGTCTACCTAAGCCTGCTGCACCGTGAAACGGACGGGCTCAATGCAGAAGTTACTGTCAGGGCTTGGGGCCTGAACCTCAGCCATCCCTGAGCCACCCACAAGATCAGGGGCTCTGTGACTCTCATTTGAGCCCTTGTCACCCCCCAGGCTGAGCTGTTCTACCAGCAATCACCACTCACATCAAAGTCCACTCTCTCTCCGTCAGGGATCTTGGGTGGTACCAAGTTCGGCATGAAGAGCCTGCTGCAGAGAGGAATGGAGATTCGGGGGTCACCAAAACAACTGGGGGATGTGGAGGAACTATGTGATCCTGGAGCCTCCATGATGACGTCAGCACGTCTACCTCACTTGACCTTTCACAGAGATTAATTTCATTTTGTCCTCTCACTAGATCCCAGAAGGGGGCAGCACTGACCTCTATTAGGAAAATGAAGGCTTAAAACTACACAGTTGGGAAGCAGAAGAGCTGAGCTTAGATAGTGTCCCTGGGTGAATCTCTGATCCTTGATTTCTTCATATGCTCTTAGGCCTTCAGGGGCTAAAAGGAGCTGCTCGGGAATGCTCAAAACAGCCAGCACAGAGAATGAACAGAGCTAAGACCCACCCAGGCCACTGGAGGCCATGAGTGTGCTGCAGTGCCATCTGCTGGCAGGATAAGCTTGCCACGAAGGAAACACTCCGTGTCCCAATGGCCCCGTACTGACAATCAGGAGATGTGATTTCCACTATGGGATGGACCTGCCCCATTCTGCCCGTTCTCAGCTCCCCAAAACTGTCATGCCTAGGTTGGTATGGTTTCACTGCTTGGTTCCCCCAAAGTTTGCATCCCTTTTCCCCTAGATCCCACACAGCCAAGAGGGTCATCCTGTGTGACAGGCAGTGTGTCTGTCCAAGGCCATGGCTAGCCCTTCCCTAGTCTGTAGACGAATGAAACTCCAACCATGTTAGTGTGCCTATAACTGGTAATGAAGTGTAGTTTATAGTTCATCTCACATTCTTCCCCTCTGGGGTAGTCTATGCCTACTGCAGTCCTGCTCAGGCTCGCTATACCACACACACTCCTGTCTCTTTGTCAGTCTCCCTAAATGCCCTCTGCCCCCAGGCTCTACCACAGACAGGTGCATTGCACTCACCTGGGCTTGGGTTTGGACTCCTCAGCTGGACCATCTGAAGGAGAGAGAAAGGGGTGTGGGTTCAGCAAACCTGACTATGCCCAGCTCCACCCTGAGCTGCACACCTTTGGGTCTCTGTTTCCCCACCTGCACAGGGCGTCTCTCCCAGCCCTGGTAAATCTGGACTTCCATTATCACCAACAGGCATGAAGGGAGCCTGGAGGGGAGGTCACAGAGGACGGTGGCTGTGTCTACAGGCACACTAGACCTGGAGCCATGGGGCTTTCTCTCCTCTGTTCTGGGCTGGGAAGATTGTTTCTCAGACTCCACAGTCATGCAGGGGCCTGTGGGAAGGTTCCCAGGGGCTCCAAGCCTAGATTGCTTCCCAGGCCTGCCTTAATGTTTTGGGCCCTAGACTTCCTGGTAGCCACAGAGCCAGGGAGCTAGTGGGGATGATTCCAAGACTGGGCTGGCTGTCTCTGGAACCCTCCACCCCAGTATATGAGTGACTACGGTCAACTGACAGAGGCTGCAGCCTGTCCAGGACACAGACGATGACGTCACCACGGCATGAACCATCTATGTCCTACAAATACCAGACCTCACTGGCATTGCCTGGGTACCAGGAGCCCGGGGTGTGAATGTGACTTCTGAGTCCACTATCCTGCATGAACCAGGGGGCTACATATTGATTTCCTCTCCTATTGGTCACTAAGACTATGTCACCAAGGTAAAGAGGACAAAGGTTCAGAGCCTCCCAGGCCCTGTAGGTGCTACCCAGTTCTGCCTTCCAACCCTTTCCTTTGTAACTTCTGGTGGAATCCCCAGGCACAGTCGTCCACAAGGTTACCATGGCAAGTTCCCTCATCATACCCAGCTCCTGTGCTGGCATCCAACAGCACTCACCTTCAGCATCTTTGGCTTCTTCATCCAGGTCAACCTCTAAACAAAACACGAGCAATCAACAGGGGTCCTGTTCTGAGCTCATTTCCCTTGAGAGCATTGCCTATGGCCAGGCATGTTAGCCTTCTCATTTAGTGCAGGGTCAACCATGAAAGGCCCCGGATTGATGATCACCGACCAGAAAATGGACTTCTGCATCCCCAGCCCAGCCGGAAGTCACAGGCACATGAGCTAGAAAGCACCTGGATGACTGACATCTTAAAACACCACCCCAAACCCCCTGTCCCCTCATCTGGCATACCTTCTGCTTTGGTCTCCTCTGTCTCCGCCTCACCCTCAGGCTCAGCCTCGGCCCCGCCATCCTCCTCCTCCACTGCCTCTTCTTGCTCTGGAGAGGTGAACCAGACACCATGAACAACCAGGCCCCTCTCTCAGCAGCCAGACAGCACCCCCAGAACAGAGCCTGGGAGGGGTGGAAGAGGGCAGTAATATCCAGGTTCACATGATTCGGGAGCTATGGCCTCAGATGACAGAAGGAACGTGGCTTGGTTCCTGGTTATACCAGAAGTCAGCAATCTAGAGCTCACAGCTACAGCCAGCCCAGGACTACTTCTGTAATCAAGGGTTCATAGGCACATAACCTCAGTCACTACTTCTGTAAGCAAGGGTTCGTAGGCACATAACCTCAGTCACTACTTCTGTAATCAAGGGTTCGTAGGCACATAACCTCGCTCACTACTTCTGTAAGCAAGGGTTCGTAGGCACATAACCTCTCTCACTACTTCTGTAATCAAGGGTTTATAGGCACATAACCTCAGTCATCTATACGCTCATCCATGCCTCAAGCCCACAAGTGAGGAAGGGCAGCGGGGACTGCGGGGCTGCCAGCTGAAGTGTACATCTGCTCCTTTGCAGGAAAAGTGAAACCCAACAGAGGGGTGCCATCTTCCTGGTAAGTGTCCCAAATTTGCCACCCTGGAAGTTTGGAAATCAGAATGGGGTCCTCTCCGCTGTGGACACCTATTTGCCACCAGGAGGCTGCTGGAAAAGTCAGCTATTGGCTGTGGGAAGGTGTGAGGGTGTGGGTGCTATGGGGACACCAGTGATAGAAGACAGAAAGACTCACTGCTGGGGACCAGCCTGTCCAGCCTCTTTCTGCCCAGTTTAGAACCTGCTTCCCCTATGACCGCCGTGGTGACATGATTCCCTCACCTTGCCTAACTTTTCACCCTGGAGACTCCACTCAGTGCCTGGCACTGTAGGACAGTTTCTGACTAAACTGGGGTACCAGGGAAAGTCTGTTGCGGGCCCAGTGACTCCTCAAGTCCATAGACCCTTCCTCCACGTCTAACAGAAACTGAAGCCATGAGGTTGTGCGGGTGGACGAAACACCCAACACTTAAAGAGTTGTGCTACCCAGAGGGTTGCCAGGAATTTCTATTTTCGTCATTTGCTTGGCAGGATGTGGACCCCGCCTCTCCCAACACTCAGAAGGGACAGACAGATTAGGGAGGCAGGATGCTGTCCAGACCATGACTCGGCTTGGCGGAAGTGTTTGTAACATTCGGTGATGGATAGACTGACAAGTGGTGGCCCTTGACAGAGGGAGAAGAAAACACCTCATGACAGACAGAACCATCAGAAGAAAGGGGGCACCTCTGCGCCCTCTGCTCATCTTCTCTGGCCTCCTTTCCTAGGACTGGGACCTCACTGACGTCTGGGGTGCTTTTTTCAATCCTGCAGGAGCTTTGCCAATAACATGAGAATAGCGGAAGGTGGCCAGTTATGGGGTCCACCTTGAAGCTACCACGCTAGCTCCTCATCCATTCACCTAGCCTTCATCTCTCTGTGCCATGTGTCCTTTGCCAAGTGATCGGTCACACAGAAGCTCAATGAACAGGTCACACTTGGCGTCTCCCTGGACATCACTGTGGGAAAGCCTTTTCTGACTCCTTTGCCCTCCTGCTATCCCTGGGAGCAGGCCCAGCCTCACCCCACAGCTCAGCAGCACACAGCTGAAGGCTTACATCATGTCTTCTCTGCTCTGGCTATTTGTAGTCTCCTCCGCTGCTCTTCAATGACTTTGTCCTCAGAGCCCTGACCCCTTGGCCATTGAGCCTTAGGCAAAACAGGGAAGGTCCCCACATGTAACACCACTGTGCATACTGGAGCAACTGGGGTCCATTCTTGCCGTAAGAATCCCTCTGTGACCACACATGGAGCCAGTGGGAAGATAGCACAGGCCAGATCCTTCCCAGTGTCTACCCCAGAGAAAAAATCAAGAAGGAAAAGAAAGAAGGGACAAGGGGCCCTAGGGTCCTGGCCCCTCTGAAGTCATGGACCTTCCCAGCCCAAGCCCAGAGCCCCGGAAGAACAGGAGAGCAGGGACAGGAACAGGACAGAGAAGGCTGTACCGTCTTCGTCTTCACTCCAGTCTTCCTCTTCTGGGTGCAGGAGGTGGCAGCGGCGAAGGGAGCAAGCGGAACAGGTTAGTGTGCAGCAGAAAGCCTGGTGGCAGCGCGGGCGGCAGCCAGCTCAGAGTTAGGTCCAAACTCTGATTCCCAAGCCAACATTCAAACAACATGGCAGGCTCACTCCTCGGTGACATCCCCAAGCCTCAAATAAACGGACATCATGACAGCCAGTTCCCAACCACTACCGAGAGCAGAATGCCTAACGGGAGCCCAACACCTGAAAGCATTCAGCCCCAGCCTGCTTCTAGGTTTCCGGCCCTGGCTTCTCTCTCAGAAGACTGGACCCGAGTATCAGGAAATAGAAAAAAAAATCACTTCTCCTCCAACTTCTCTTATATTCCTGCCTTGAATCAGTTTTGGGACTACCCCGTAAAACACCTACAGACTCCCAGAATCACATCTCGGACTGCCATACTGGGACCCAGACCAAGGGAACTGGCCTGGCCTGTTGGAAGGCATGGGCTCGTAATCTGAGGAGGCTGCCTAGGTTTCCCCACTGTTTTTAACACAAACTTCTACTCAAGGGAGAGTTTAGGAAGCCAATGGTGGTGGCGCACACTTTTAATCCCAGCAGGTGGATCTCTGTGAAGTTTAAGGCCAGCCTGGTCCACAGAAGTAGTTCTAGAACAGTCAAAGTTACACAGAGAAACGTTACCTCAAAAATCAAAAATAAGATAAGGGGTGGAGGTAGGGAAGAAGACCTTAGCAGCAGTGGGGAGATACTTTCCCCAGAACAAAGGCTCTCAGCACTGTCTGCCCTGTAGGTTTCAGCCACTCGTCCAGATCTTTCCTTTCTGAGCCAGAGACAGCACCTTGGACCATTTGGGACAAGAGAGGTAGATGTAGATGTGGCAAGAGCTCGTTCCACCGAGAACTTTGACTCCCAGACAGAACCTGCTGTGTGTACCAAACAGGCTGAAAGACCCAAATCTGGCTGAAGTCTGTTTCCCAAGGCCTACTAGCCAGAAACTGCTGTCAACAGGAGATTCCTCCAAGGCTAAGGAATCCCCCAGCAGACGGTGTCCCTCCTATGCAGGAAGTTGGAAGCAGCTGGGCTCTTGATTCAAAACATTGTGACTCATGACTCAGGCCTGTAATCCCAGTACTGAAGCTGAGGCAGGAGGATTACCACAGCTTGAGACCAGTCTGAACTCCGAAAACAAAAACAAACAAAAAGCCTTGGTTTGGAGATTTGGCTCAGTAGTAGAATGCTATCTGAGAGATTTTTCTAATGGTCCCTAAAAATCAGAAATGGCATCTTCTGCTCCTAGCTCCTATTTGGCTACACGACACAGAACAGACTTAAAGGAGCAAGAGGCTCCTCACTTTTTCCAAAAAACCTGAGGCACAGGGGAGGTGCAGCTCCCGAGATCATCAGAGACCCTTTCCACACATGGCATGCGTTATCCAAACCACTGCAATCCAGGCTTCAGCCTGCCTGTGGGGTGGAAATCAGGACCCATGAGGTCATTCTGGGCCTTCCAGGAGGAAGGACAGAGAGAGCGCTTCCAGAGATAGCAGAGTCCAAGCCAAGGAGGGTGACATGTCACCATATCCAAGAGGAGGGGACAGCAAGATGGACCTTTGCCAGGTTGTAAGAAAGCTTCATGCCCATAGAGAATGTCCCAGGTAATGAAGCAAATTCAGATTCACGTGAAAAAAAAAAAAAACAATCGCTGGGATGGGTTTTGGTTTGTCCGTGGCATTATGGTTGTGTCTGTTTATTTAGTGGTTTAGTTTGTCTAACTTTTAGTTTAACTTTTCATGTATGTGGACGTTTTGCCTGCATGTATGTCTGTATGCTACTTGTATGTATGGTGCCCATAGAGGTCAGAAGAGGGTGTTAGATACCCTGAAACTGGAGTTGCACACGGTTGTGGACCACCATGAGGGTAGCAGGTATTGAATCTGGGTCCCCTGGGAGAGCAGCCAGTGCTCTTAAAAGCTGAGCCATCTCTCCAGCCCACACGTCTTGAGATATATGTGGAATTAGTAAGGTATGTATCTGGGACTGGTTTGGGGTGCCTCTTCAAACCGGCCAGGACCAGCTGGAGTAGAGACGACTATTGGCCACACGTTTTTGATTGCGGAGGCTAGGTGATGAGACCGTGGGGCTCATTATTCTTTTCTTGTTGTCTATATACATGTCAAAGTTTTCATGGTAAGAAAATATGCTGTATACACACCACACACACACACACACACACACACATATATATATATATATATATATGCAAAAGTGATTACTCGGGCCATCTCTGCTCAGTTAGGAGTTCAGAGCAAAGAAAGACAAACTGTTTCCCCAGAAGCACTGGCCTCCCAAAACTCCTCTCTTACTCCCCATGTGCCTGAGGTACATACCTTCTACAGCTTCTGTTCAGAAGAGACCAGGGCGAAAGGGAAGAGAAAAGAGACGGGTCAGTTTCCAGCCGGACTGTCCTCCATCAGTGTGGGCGTCCCCACGATCACTTACCTTCCTGTTCTCTGAGAATAAAAGAAGACACTGTCAAAACTGGTGTACACACTACACGCTACACACACACACACACACACACACACGCACGCACACATACACGCATGTACACACACACACGCACACACAATGACCTTTCCATGAAGCACCCTTTCCCACTTCTTTCTTCTGCAAATAGCATTCCACCTTCTGGCTCCCTCTGCAACGACCTCCAGCAGCCTGACCCACCCTTCTTAGCCTGCACTATCTGCCACTGTTTCCAGCAAACATCTAAGTCAACAAGTATCTTTAGCGTTCTTCCCCCTACCGCCTCTCACCTCACCTGAGATTCTCCCAGACAGTGTCCTTTTCAGAAAACCCTTTCTCCAATTCTTTCTACAAATGCGGCCAGGGGAAGCCTCCCTTCTCCACGCAGCTGCCTCTGCCCATCCCTGCACCCACTCTCGCTCTTCCCCAAGCTCCTGTACAACCGTGGCCACATCTGCACCATACATCCCTTTATCAAGTCCTCCTGTGGTTTGTATCTCAGCAGCCCAAAGGGAAAGGCAGGTCTGTGCTAGTCAAGGTGACCTCCCTGGTGACATCTCTACTCAGAATACTTGTCAGATTGCCTGACTGTACTTCACCTTTTGCGTCCCCAGGGCAGGCCTGTAGACAAGGCACTGTGAGGGACTAGGGATAATGCTGGGCCTGGGACAGGAGGGGGGCCACCATGTCTGTGGCCTCAGGAGAGCTGTTGAACTGTTAGCAGTATCAACAGCCCCAGCTTCTCAGCTTCCCTCCTGGTCCTCAAACTGAGTCCTGTTTTCCTAAAGTCCCAAGTCTGAGGTTGCCTGGGATCCGCTAATCAGAGCTACAGAAATGGGAAGAAAGGGAAGGAATCCCAACTCCAAGTCCTGGAAATAGGCGCAGCCACTTCCACCAGGATGCGAGGGTAGGAGGGGACCCCATGCAAGGCAGAATGCACCCAATATGGGCATGAGGGGACCCCATGCAAGGCAGAATGCTCCCGATACTTACTCCTCGTACTCCTCCACCACCTCCTCCGCGTCAGACATGGCTCTCCCTTCAGAAAGAGAAAAACATCGTTGCAGGCAGCAAGTGAAAGGCGGCTGCCTTCTGCAGGAGCCCTCTGCACCCAGCTAGAGAGGACTCAAAAAAGCCTGGGGATGAATTCACTGTGTGACCCACAGGGAAAAGTCAATTTCTCCCTCTGCAAGAAGGCAACCATGACACCTGAATCGCAGCAGGGCAGCTAACTGGTGTTCACCCATTCCCTGCCCCTGAGCATGCCACCCTGGATTTCTTAGGTTCCTATCTGTAACTCTCAAAGAAATGTTAGCTGTGTTTCTCCACGTCTCAGGCGAGCACGGCCCTCGCGACCAGCACTCTCTTCCTGTTCTCACTGTACGTTCCATCCTGACACAGCTCCCCTGGGACGCTGGTGACACCATCTCTAGCCTTGTGCAGCACAATAGCACATTTTCCCGTCAGTGCTTGAGAAAGGCAGCTGTGATGGTCACAGGCTGTACGGCTCCACTTACAACTTCTTGACGTGGGCAAGATTGTAAATATGGAGAGTAAGTCACCAAGGCTCATGTGGAGGGCAGGAGAGAAGTGGAAATGGTAATAAAAATGTGCACAAGGGACCCTTTTTGGCCTTTTAAAAATGACATATTTATTGATGCGTGTGCACACAGTGTCATAGGGCATGTGTGGAGGTCAGAGAACAGCTGGTCTTCTTCTTCCCCATCTGGGTCCCAGGCAAGGAACTCGGGTTGTCAGGCTTGATGGCAAGTGACTTTACCACCGAGCCATCTCACAGGTCCCTTGTGGGTCTTGACTAGAGGGATGAATGCATGAACACACCCAGGTTAGGACTGTATAGGACGCACCCCAAACAAAAGCACAGTGAAGCTGGGGCGGCCTGAGTGCGAGCCTGGATGAACCGGATCTGTGTTTACATGTGAGTCATGATATTACATTCTATAGTTTTGTAAATGTGTTGTCTCGGGAATGTGGACAAGGGGACACAGGAAGCTTTTTCTGTTTCCTTTTTTTTTTTTTTACTTATTTTATTTCTTATTGACTGTGTCTGTGTGTGCGTGTGCATTTGAGTGCAGGTGCCCATGGTGTTCAGAAGAGGAATTCGGATCCCCTGAAGCTTGAGTTACAGGTGATTGTGAGCCACCTGACATAAATGCTAGAACCCACCTGGACCCTCAAACATGTGCTCTTAACTGCTGGGCCACCTCTCCAGCCCTTTGGCAGTATTTCATAGGTGTGAGTATTAATCCACCCAATCTCAATAAAGATCCCAGCTTTACAGCGTCCCTGGGATACTGGCTGAGCTATTCCTGTAACTGTGGTAGGGACAGCCCTGGGTTCAGGCTCTTATCTGTTTACTGAGATGTTGATGTGTTTGTAGCACAGTTGAACCTTGGTTCTCTCTGAATGATGGAGGGAGTACAGACATCCCAGCTAAGGGACCCTATGAGGACCCCGCGAATATTAATGAGTAGATGCCCAGGCATGACCAGGTGTGATTATGTGCTCTCATAATTACAAAATGCCACGGGGAGAGGTGAAAGAGCAAAGCTTCAGTATGAGAGTCATCTGGTGACCTTAGTGTGACCTTCAAAAGGTCATTTCATTTTCCTACACCATAATTCCCTTTGAGAAATTTCTCCTCCCCTGCGGTGTATGCAATGGGAAGAACAGATTAGAGACAGTGTGAAGTGCCTGGCCGAGAACAAACTCAACCCGTATTATTATGACCCAGCTCCTGGAGGCACATCAGTGCCTAACCCAGAGACACCATCAGGTTGCCTGGAATGTGGGCAATGCTCCCTGTTGTTTGCAATATAACCTTCCCGACACTGGAATTAGAAGGGAGAAGGACCACACAATGTGGTGGCCTCAGGAGCGACAGGAACATATTGATTGGCAGGACCACCCCACATGGTGCTTCCTGCCCACCATGAAGCCACCCCCTGCAGTCTGATCCAGTGTAAAGGGTGGGACATGGATGATCTCACCCCTGCCTTCTCCAGCCTTCCCTCTATATCCCAATGCAGGGAAGAGGGCTGAGACCCAACCCAAGCTCACATCTATGGGCAGCCATGAAAGGCGAGGTGCTGCTGAACTGAGCTGATGGTCAGGCCAAAGCCACCCTTGAGACTGGGTAGTTTCCGGGAAGCCGGCACTGGCCAGATATTCTGAGCAGAGACTGTCTCAGACTCAGAACTCACTGCAACTTGGGATTGGTCCCCCAACTCTGCTCCCTCTGCTGGAGTAGGACAGACAGTTGCGGGGTGGGGCCTGGCTCAAGTGGAACTCTGGACAGCAGCCCTGTGCAGCGTGTCACCCCACCCCGCCATATGATAGTGGAAAAGGGATGTCAAACGTGTAAGGTCTCTCAACAAGTGGGGTGGTATTCTACTGAGAGGAGACTTGAACACCAGACACCCTCCACCTGGATCTCAGGATGAGATCCTGAGCCCAGAAGTCTGGTAGTATACCCACCTTTACAAACCTCAGGGGAGTAGTCAGAACTTGTGAGGAGCCTGGGGGTGTCGAGGTGATGGGGAGAGTTCTTGGGGGGAGGTGTGTGGCTACCCTATAGGCTCATCATTGCTAACTTCTCTCCTGCCCTCCCACCAACTTAGAGCCACTGGGCATCTTGCAGAGATCAGAGAAGGTAGCAGCAACTTGGACTCCCCACCTTGCCCCCAGGAACACCATCTAGCTCCCAAAATAGAACACAGACCACAGACTGCAGAGTCTGGGGAATGTTTCCAGCCAAGGGGCACACCTAAGCCAGGTAGACTAGGGAAAAAAAGGGGTGGAAACTGAGCCTGAGGGCTACAGAATGAGAGGAGATGGGGAAGCTGGAGGGATGGATGTGAGTATGTCCCAAGAACCCTACCCTCCTCCAGCTTCTTACCATCTGTCAGGGGTCACCTTTCACGGGTAATAAAGCAAAACAACAGAAGCCAAAAGAGGACTCTCTTTGGGGATCAAAAGATCTGAGTTTTAAACCCGGCTTTTACTGTGCATCCTATGCAAGTCCCTAAATGTCTCTGAACCTTTCATTAAGCTACCTATGAAATAGATCAGCTTCAGATTTTAGCCTTGCAGTTTCTGAGGAGCGTAGGCTCTGTCCTTTGGCCCTTGTCCAAAGCATTGAACTGGGGATCTTCCTAAAGCTACAGCTGTTAGCCCGGGACACTAGCTGAAGAATCAGCAGAGGGTGAAACTTGATCCCCTCCGATTTTTCTGCCCAGAGGAGGAGGACCTGTCCTGTGAGAAGAGGGTCAGAGGAGGAATTCTGGAGGTCAGGTGGCTTCCCAGCTGAATTCCCCGTGGAATGTGCTGGACATTTCTTAGCCTCCAAGCAATTACCTCCCAAACAATCCTTCACTGCACCTAGAAGTCAGAAAGCCTGCCTACGACGCAAAGGCACAGAACCCTAAGGACAAGTTGGGATGGGGCAAGGGTCACACTGGAAGGGGCACAGTGGGTCCCAGGAATACCCTTCCAATGTTGACAAGCTTAGCTCCCCTCTTCTGGGAAAGGGATCAGGACTCATCACACACACCCCATGCTAGGCACCCTTGGCTTCCTCCAGGAGTGGACTCACACCCTGATGCCCAGTGGATATAGAGCATCCGCTTGGAGAAACCCCATCAGGCCCACATGCCCCTGGACGTTTGACCTTTCTCAGTGCTTCCAGGGCAGCATCTTTGTTCCTGGGCATGACATCTGAGTCACCAGGATTCGTTGGCAAATATAGCCATGGTCTTACCCTGCTCTCTGGGCCTCTAGAAAAAAGATTCGGGTGGCCCTTAACCTAGAGTCAAGGAGACAGACTGAGCAATCTGGGGATCCCTGATGGTTAGGGTTCTGTTGTATTTAGTGACCCCACAATGATCTAGGCCGCTCTACTTATGAAAAAAAAAAAGATCTGGGGAGGGAAAGCAATCTACTCAAGACTTCAAAACCACACGCTATCTCTCGTGGCCGATGAGGACCTCCCACTCACTTCCCATCGAGGATGCAGGCTCTCCCACTCCACAGCACTCTGGCTGGAGTCTATCCTGGAAACAGCGCCGTGGATTCCCATCAACCCTGTGACCACTCAGAATGGACACAAGCACAGACCAGCGGAAAGTGCCAGAGCCGAATCCACCTGCCTCTGCCCTCTCCCAGGGGCTCCCCCTGGTCTTACCTCTGAACAGGGACTGCACACGGGTCCTGAGGTGTCTGCTTGGCCTCGGCAGGGACTGGCCGAGGGCAGGGCATGGAGAGGGCTTTAAGCAGGCATGTGGGCTGGGGCCTTGGGAGCCAAGCCCTGCGGTGGGAGGAATGTGCAGCAGGAGATGGGGGGGACGACACAATGGGGGGTGTTGGCTGCTATTTTGGCAGGTGCCAGGCACAGGGCTAAAGGAACAAGTACCCCACGCCATATAAGCTCATGTGGTCCTGCAGCTGCCCACATAAGCTATTTAAAACCAGAGCAGATATGCTGGGAACACAAACCAGCTGTCCCTCTTGAGAATTCTGATAAAGCAGATGCCAAAGCCCAGGCCCAGAGGGGGGAGGGCTGGGAGCAGGGTTGAGGTAGGCGTCAATCTCAGAGACACCTCAAGAGCCTCTTAGGCGGGTCCTGGGGAGCAGAAGACAAGAGCTGGGGAAAGGCATCCTCTGGGCTGTTGCTGCTGCTGAACCAAGTGGCTTCAGGCAGATGGCAGGCTCTCAGGCCTTGGGAAGAGCACACAGAAAGTCGTCTCCATGAGCCCCGAGCCACACACCTTGTCCTCCTCACAGGAGTGGTCTCCAAAGCCAGAGGAGGCTGAGCACCAGATTGCCAAGTCTCCATAGTCTGGCAACAGGAGTGTGAGTAGGGAACAGAGGATCGTTGGGTTTCCTCTCAGGGTTAGAGACGGGGGTCATGGTGAGCAACTTTGTCCGGCTTGTCCGCTAGATCAGAAGGTCCATAGGATCAGGACCCAGCTTTTGCTGTAGCTTGAATGTTGAAGGCCACCAGCCCACAGGGACGACAGGTATGGTGGGGATCAGGTGTGATAGAGCTGAAAGAAACTAAGTTGGGAGGCAACTGAGTCTCCCCACAGTCTACCTTCTTCCACCCCAGCCTTCTCAGCAGGCCCCACAGAAGCCAAAGTAGGAATACTTCCATGGACCAGGCCCAACTTCCCAGGTGCCCCAACCCCTGAGATCCCTGACCCTCCAGACATGGTTAGTGACTCATTCTCTTGCTCTCCACGCCAGATTCGCCCAGCCTCTGTCCTTTTCCTCTCTCCTGACCGTGTGCCCAGCCTCTCCTTTAGCTCCACCACTTAAGAGGGACAGGGTTGCTTCTGTGTGAAAGTCTTTGTGAGGACCCTCTGTATAGAAATGCCCACCCTACTAGCCAACTTACCCATTATTCAGCTGACACAGTTCCCTTCCTGCGGTCCCTAGCAGTCTCTGAGCCCAGTGACTTTGATCCCTAGCTCCAGGCTTATCCCAAGCCATGTGCATCTCTGTGTTGCCAGCAGGTCAGCAAGAGGACCAGCTAGAGCCATAGGCCTAGGGGCAGCATCCCAGGGAAGGGAGGGCTCAGGAAAGCTGGGGGTGGGAGCTTGGGAAAGGCAAAGAGAGGGGGAATACTGAGAGGGATAATGAGACGGAGCCAGGCTGACCTCATAAAGAGCATGGCAGCCAGCTCTCCCCTCCCATTTAAGCTCACCAAGCCCCATATTGCCTTGTATCTCAGTCTAGAATCTCCTGGAATTTAGGAGTTGCTTTCCCTAAGCCCTCCCTGAACTTAAACTACTTTCCAAGAAAGCCGATAGATAACCTTTCAGACAGGCCATAGCCAGTCTTCATGGATGCCGGAGAGAGGGACCTGGGCATCAGCGCACACAGAGCATCCTTCTCCTGGAAAACCAGTGGGTTCTTCATATCTGGGGTCCCTAGCTGTGGGGCATCAGCCCAACAGTCACTGCTCAGCAGCCACACTGGTGTATAACGGGGCGGCTCCAGAAGCAACTTACAAGTAATTGTAGTGACCAGATTAGAGGAAACAGGCAAATGGGCAGAATATCAGAAGTGCGGTGATGTGAAGCATGTGGGCCAGTGCATGCTGGGGCACAAATCCGATGGCAGTGCCAGGCCATTGCAGCAGCAGAGCAGAGAGGTGGACTTACCTCTAGGGGGCACTCAGATGTCACCTCAGACACACACTCACACACACACACACACACACACATGCACACAAGCACACACATCACTCAGATGTCACCTCACACACGCACACACACACACATACACCATACACGCACACATACATGCACACACATCACTCAGATGTCACCTCTCACACGCACACACATATGCACACATGCACACACATACACCATACACGCACACACACGCACATGCACATACCACTTAGATGTCACCTCACATGCACAAACATACGCACATACACATACACCATACATACACACGCACACACACCACTCAGATGTCACCTCACATACACAGTTGTCACCCTCTAATTCTAGCCACCTCCACACCCTTGTTCATCAGCTCCTTCCAGAGCAAAGCCAGTGGCAGAAGGAGCTGAGGAGTGGAGCTGCTGCCACACGCTCCCCAGAAGCCTGCTCACAATGGACACCCCAAAGAGGGGATTCAGGCAGAGGCCATACCACTTTGAGCCTGCATCTGATGAACATCCCTTCCACTGTCTAAGGGGAGCACCCACGAGTCTCTCCTAAGAGTCTGTAGGACAGCTCTGCCAGGTACAAAAGTTCACCTGCCAAGGCACTACCCAAAATTTGCAACATGAACATCCCAAAGCCATGTGAGGTCACCTGCTTGAACTCTTGGGATTCAGAGAGGGGAGGTCATAGTTAGGGTGCCCAGCAGAACCAGAGTAGTTACAGCAGTTGCCCCCACTGTCCAGGTGGCACACAGTCACCACCTCTTCTTGCCCAGATTTCCAACAACTTTCAATTGCAGATCAAGTCCTTGGCAGGATGTACAAGGTGTTCCAGGCAGGTCTTCAGGGTGTCTTCAGGGTCATCCCCCTGCCCCCTCCCCAGCCCAGCAAAAGTGTGAGACCAGCTGCAGGCGACTCACAGAGGTAAGCCAGCTCTGAGTACTCATAAATGAGCACAGACAGGATCTGAGGAGCTCTGTCCTCTGAACTGTAGGACCCAAGACACAAAGACAAGTGGGACTGGCTGCCTCTGCCCCATGAACTAGGGGAGCAGGGACCTGGTGCTGGCACTTATTAGCCATGTTCTAAAGCTGGGCCATTGCCCCAGGCTGCCTTCGCACCTGCTCTCCCTCAAGCTGGTTCTAGGGGAAACCAAAGCAATCCACTGGGGGTAAGAGCTGTAATGACTTAAGACCGCCTTCAGCCTCCAGCTTAACGGAGCTGCAGGGCATTGGGCTGCAGGGCACTGGGCTGCAGGGCACTGGGCTGCCTTTCTTGGTTTGCTGTGTGTTTCTGGGTGGCTCAGCATTCTACACACACACATAAGAGGCCATTGTAGTGTCCTGGAAAGAGGAAGCCTGGTGGAAAAGATGGGGTGAAGATATGTGGCCATTCTGTACTCTCAAAGGCTTTTATTTTGTGTGTGCTTTGCCTGCATGTAGAACCATGCACCGTGCGCATGCAGGGCCCACAGGCCCCCTGAAACTGGGGTTCCAGACATTTGTAAGTTGGTACGTAGGTGCTGGAGACTTGAACCTAGGTTTCTCTGGAAGAGTAGCCAGGGCTCTTAACTGCTGAGCTATCTCTCCAGCCCCCAGGTCTGAACTATTAAATCAGCATACTAGGACCACTGATGACAAGCCTACCACCTTAATATGAGAGAAGATAGGAACAGAGTTCTTCCTTTCACCGAAGCCAATGGCCCCCTCTCCCTGCAGCTGACCCGGAAGGAAAACAAAACCTACGGGGACAGACCCATCAGTGTTACCAGTCAGTTATGCCTGAGAATGAATGAGTTTATCAGATCCTTCCTGAGAAAAGATTTTTCTGAGCAAAAGACTAGTGGTAATACAAAAAGGCACTGGGCTCCGGATCAGAGCGGGCGGGAGGGGGGGGGGACATGGCAAAGCGGAAACGCAGTACGTGATCGTTGTCTGAGGACTCCTTTCCAGTCTTGAAAAAGCCTCGGAGAGCAGTGACCAAGTCTAGGACTTGATGTGGGGATGTCACAGGCACACAGAGTACCCGCTGGGAGCAGGTAAGACAGATAACTCTGGAGTTGGCAAACACCCCAGGCTGATACTGGCAGTGAGCAGGAGAAAGGGGCCGTCTCTAGACAGGACATGGAGACTCCATGGCTGGTGTGCCAGGGCTGTGTTCTGGGCTCAGGGTAGAGAGTGCCTGCATCTGGAGGAAGCATCAGAGCACATCTGCCTCCCCCTGCCAGGCAGGGCTGGGGAGGGGCCGGAGGTGTGACATTCATGTTCCTGGCCCCCAGGGACCCTGACCACACTGGCTGAGAGACAGAAAGGGAATGGGAACACCAGGGTCAGGAGTGCTGCAGGCCGGGGGCTGGCATGAAGAAGGACCCTTGGGGTGCATGTCTGCAGGTCTGTCCTGGCAGGGTTTTCACACCTGTGGGACAAAGGCCAATCAGAACAAGGAAACGGGGTTCAAGGGACTATGGGGGGAGGGCACCTCTGGACAAGATAACCCTTTGGCCAACCAAGCCTCCGCCCACCCACACTGGGTAAGGACCCCAAACCTTACAGTTAGATGGGGCAGGCTTTGCTAAGCTAAGGCTCAGTCAAGCCAGAACAGGGCTCCCATTACTCTCATGGGTAAGTCATCTAAAGAACACACAGGGGGGCAGAACCTGGGTACCCAGACCACTCAATGGCAACCCAGTTAGAGTTGTGTATTTGGATAGGTTGGGGGGGGGCTTCCATATCTCAGGACTGGGCGCCTTCTCCCCACTCACCTCGGCATCCAGGGACATGGCCGATTTGTTTCCCCACTGAGCCCTCCTGGTGACGGATGCCTCTTTCTGTACCTCCTGATCAGAGTAGAGACCGAGAACTCAGAGGTAAAGAGGGACTTGGGACCCCCACCTGATATGTTTGTTCTTCCTGAAGAAACAAGGACTCAGACCCACCCCTCTCCTCAGCTCTCACCCACAGGTTGGGTTTCTATATCCCTTGCCATCAGCATCACTTCTGAAATGACCCATTGCTGTCAGGCCTATCCCTCCTCTGACCTGATATGTGGGTAAGGGTACCTGAGAGCCCTGGTCTCCAGAATCCTGGGTCTTGCTGATCCACAGGTTAAGTCTTGATGTCACAACCCCTGACAGTCGCAGATTCTCCTAGAAAGAAAACTCCCACCTTAAGGTTTGGAGTCCCAGACAACACTAAGGCTCTTCCAGAGGCCCCAGAATGGGGACGAAAGTCTCTCTACCACAACGTCTACTTGGCACAAGCTATGTGTAGCTGGGACAGGTCCCAACCTGGGGAGTTCTGCACCCAGTTAAGGAAACTCAATCAGAACAATACAGTTTCTAACACTGCCGAGGCTGAGGCCCAGGCTTCAAGGATGTCAGACCAGAGCCCCAGCAGTTGGGATCTGGCCCTCACCTTTCTGATGGTTGGTTCTGTGCGGCTCTGGCCTGCCAGCTCCTTCTCAAAGAGGTGGCGCTTGCTGGCTACACCGGCAGGAGTCACAAGAACCTCAGTGCGGGAGGAGCCTGGAGACCTGACCGATTCGGATCTCTGTAAATCAGAGATAAGAGCAGCTGAGCCATAGCTGTGATGTTCATAAATAGCGCCCTCCACCCCGGCACAGGCTCCGAAGGAATCCTCCGCTCCCACCTGTATGGCTGTGTGGTATCTCTCCAGTTTCTCTCCCAGCTTCACCGTGCTAGCTGGCAGCCTCACACTGGCACTGTAGGATGGGAAGACAGATTTGAGATGAACCAGCCTAGACTCCGCCCCCCCCAGGGAGGCCAGGCCTGCCCCCAGGGCTTTAAGAACAACCCCTAATACCCCATCCTGTGGGCCAAGAGGGAGGACAGGGACTGATGAAGACACCTCTGTTGCAGAGAGGATTGCAATGACTTGGTCAGGGTGAAGTTTACAGACTCCAGGAACTTCTACATCTCTGAGGAACAGCCTGTCTACTCCAAGGGGCCTTTGAGGATTAGATGAGCTTCCCACTGTTCCCTTCCTGCCTCCTCCTCTCACACCCTGTCCCTTCCACTCACCTCAGTTCTCACAGGCTGTGAGGTCACGATGGCCCTTACGCTACCCCCCCCCCACACACACACACTCCTGGCTCACACTGCTGTCCCTGCATCCGCCTGCCAGGGTGTCTATGGGTTTAATGGTCTCAAGTGAATCACTTGAGGGTTAGCCACTGTCTTGTCTTTGTTCTCCTCTTCCTCCGTCCCCTCTCCCAGCCCTGCACCTAGGAACATAAGCCCTTATTAAAGGTTTAACAGATAGGTAAGTACGGCACAGGTGGGTGAAACTTTAACACCGGCACTAAAGTTTAGATTTTATTTTTGTCCCCTCCCCCTCCCCCATGCAATGCTCCATCCCCCATCTACTTGGCTCAGTGATACAAGGGTGGTTACTAAGCATGCAGGTTCCAGGCCAAGGGTGGTTACTAAGCATGCAGGTTCCCGGCCACTGCTCCGGGCCTGCCACAGCCAAGTCTTTTCCTTCTTTGTCCTAACCATAGTCTCCCTTCTGGAAAGCTCTCTTACCCTTTCTCACCCCAACTCCAAGATAGAGCAAAGCCTCCTCCCTCTTCAGAGACCCATCAAAGCTGTGTCTCCTCCAGGCAACTCTCCCGGGGCCCACAGGATAAGTACTCCCCACTCCCAGCATCATCTCAACCTACCCCAGGACCTCCTATCAATCCTGTCCCCCGCCAGATCTAGAGTGCCAGGCAAAATCTGCACCTCCCCTAATGTATGCTGCGGCACAACCTGGCACACCAATGGGAGGTGAAAACAGATAAACACATAGCCAGAAACAAGATCAGGCCTCCAGGCAGCTCACCTGCGGGTTAAGGTTGTTTCTGAGTTGTCTTTCCTGGGGCTCATCTGAAATGAGAAGGTAAGTGAGGGTCTTAGGTAAGTCCATGCCCCCTCTCCAGTGAGGAGTCTAGCTCCCAGGATGCATCTTCTTCCTGAGAATAACCCCCCCCCACACACACACCAAGTGCCAAGCCTTCATTAAAAGTCTTAATCTGGAAGCACCTGCCTTCACTCTTCTGTGTGGGTTCAAAGCCCTTCCAACGGCTACCGCACCCCAGCCAAGGTACCTGTTACGACCTGTGTTCCTATCTGCCTCTCCACTAACCAAGAGCCTTGAGGGTACTGGTCAACCTCTGGCATATGGCCTCTTCCCCAGGGCCTGGCATGCATCAAGTCACAAGGCACATTCAACCAATGGATGAGCAGATGACCCGGTAAACAAAAGGACCAAGAATAAGCCCTGAAACAGACGAGACTTTCCAATCTCATCACATGGAAGCAAGGAAGGGGCAGAGAACACTGGAGAGAAACCTGCTGCTCTCTGTCCTTCCCTCCTCCCAAGGAAGATACAAGAGAGCCAAGACAGGTCAGTCTGCTCTGGCAAGTTCATCTACCTGCAGTCCTGATCTTATCCACTAGGTGGGACTGCTCGTGTCTCTCTCTCTCTCTCTCTCTCTCTCTCTCTCTCTCTCTCTCTCTCTCTCTCTCTCTCTCCCACACACACACACACACACACACACCCCACCCACCCCCACCACACACACACACACACACACACACACACACACACACACACCACACACACACACACCACACACACACACACACACACACACACACACACACATATTTTCTAGGTCTTCAGCCTGCTTGCGTTGGGCACCGTGGAAAGTCAAAGCTCCTGTCTATCTAAAGACACTTCCTGTTGTGTAACCTAGGCTCTTGCTTAATGGGTCCTGGTTTCCTTTGCCTGTTCTGTGGCAGCGGCATGTTGATGACTAGGCTCCACCCAGCCCTTACCCGAAAGGAGATGGTCCTGGGGCTGGAGCGTTTGAGGGAGCTGCTGTAGGTGAGCAGAGTAGGTGAGGATATGTCTGCTTCTTCATCCTTGCTGGGAATTTTCACCTGAGTGGAACAAAGGCGTCAGATGAGAACTCACCTTCCTCGGTAAAAGGGTAAGGTGCTCCTAGGCCCAAGAAGCCCCCAAGCCCAAACTTCCAGGGGGACCTCAGGTGACCTGGCTCATCCCAGAAGCTAGAGATGTCTCACTCTCCCGCCCTGCTATACAGTGACCACACAGCCTCATGTAGCCCGACCACCAGGCAGAGCTTTAGTTTGGAAAGATCTGAGGTTGTCTAAGCTTGCTATCTAGCCCAAGGTTCCTGCACTTAATGGGTGCCTGTTTCCTCGGAAGGCTCTGTAGTGGAAAGGAACAAGGTTACCCTGGCTCTGAACAGACATAAATGGCTTTGTGGGCCGGAGTCCAGGACCTGGATGAGGATGTGGTTGAAGACCCTCTGTACTCTGCACACGGCCCCTTTTGGTTCCAATAATCTGCCTCTGACTCAGTGCCCTATTTGGACAGTAGTTATGAATTCTGACTTGCTAGGAGAGAAAAAAACTGCCAAGGCCAGCCCAATAAGGGAGGAGAAGAGGAAACAAGGGAGATACAGGCCTCAGGGCTGGACTGTCAAGGAGGGCAAAGGGGAAAGGGGCAATGCCAACCTGGAGTGTGATGGGTGGGAAGCGAGAAGCCTTAGTCGGAGGGTCTGTTGTACCCTGCTCTGCAGAGGAAGGTGGGTTCTTCC